TTTACTCAATTTTGTATGTTACTGTAACATCTTTAATTGTTCATAACAACTTATTCCATTTTAGTTGGATTTACTCAATTAATAAGGTGTATTTAAGAGATGTGATTGTTTTTGCATTTACTCATTATTTTTGAGTGTAAAAGTGTTGCACCAAAATATTTAAGTAATTATCAGTTTTAGTTCTTAGAGTGTAATGTGCTAGAACACTGCGTTTTAACAATAATCACATCACCCAATTGTAGATCAGTCTTTCTGTGCTTTTCTTTGGTGCATCTGTGCCAGAATATTCTGCTCACTGAGTCATTCAAAGCTCACAGGAGTTTAGGTTGTCTGCAAAGCTTGAGAGCAAAATGCAAACACATGGACTTTAATTTGTAATCCTGATACAAAGGATGATCTTTCCTTTGATCTAAAGTGAGACAGATTTGCAATGAAGAGTTTTAGATTCGCGATCTTTAAAGCCATTATACAACAATCTTCTTGTCACAGGCAGAATATGTTTAATGAATAGAGCACTTTTCAGGTTTTGGTTTGTAATTAGGCTGTGACTCAGTGCTCAGCTTTGCTGAAGTAATGTGTACCAGGGTTCCTACAATAAAAAAGCCATTAAGTTGTAAGTAATAGGAGAGTTAATTAAAAACAGGGACTTTCTTCCAATGAACAACATAAGAACCCTTTTAGGGACAATAAGCCTGGCACTTCTCATTGTTCAGCTTTGAATTAATAATTTTGTCATCAGATGGTGAAAATACTTGTGAATGAATCACATCATCCTGCTAGTTTAAATATAAATGAAATGCACCTGTATGAAGAGTTTTTAAATCAGGGCAGTCTTTATAAACACATCAGCTGATAAACACACATCATCTTTGATATCAAAGTTTTCACGTACTGTGGCTTCAGAAATTGAAATAAAGGGCTCAATCTTTAATAGAGGAATTTTTGACTCTAATCATGAAATGTCATTTATTATGAGGTGCTGGAGATGTTTGGCTCAAAGTACAGACCTGGTCCTGTGTCTCTCTGTCCAGCGGGGCATTGAGATAAATGACTCCTTCTCTGCTGATGGTGAAGAGCATCTCTGGAAACTCCCCCTCCAGACCATACTCTGCCTGACTGCCACTCCATTTGACCTAAATTAGCACAGACAAATGTATACAAACATTTTATGAGTATTCAGTTTTACATATCTGCAAGTGAATTAAACGCGAATATGGTTTCTTATCTGGGCGCAGCAGGAAAATTGAGCGAAAAACTGTAAACATATAAAGCTTTGCGACCGAGCGTGTAAGATGTATAAATACCGAGTTAAGCTACCATTTGTTTACATGATAAGGAGCCAGTTAAATGCGCTGACACTGATGGGGAACAGAGAGCACAGCCAAAACTAACGATGAAGGCTGAAGGGGATTTTCCACTCTGCTTTACAACCCCCTAACAGAGGGCTGTGCAGATGGGCTGAAAGGGCCCTAGTAGCAATCAAACAGCACCCAACAAGGACAAGAGCCCAGTTGTATCACAGCTGATGCAAACCCAGGGCATGTGCATCTCCTCAACTCACTGTCAGACACTCGTCCCTTGTTTTGGATATAACTGCCCATGTGCAATGCTTCTGTATACACAAAGCCACTTCACACAGCTGGCCGCCTTTCAGTGTTATTGTGTGCTTTGAGACCTTGCAACTTTAAAGACATGTGATTGATGAGCACTGACTCTTTTGTATAGAGTTATATACAAATCATCTATGAAATCATCTGTTTTGCCTCCATCCATGTTTCAGTTTTCCAAGCACGTGCTGTCTCTGTGATATCTTGTGTTTGAGCTTGGTCAAGAGTGGCTGTGCGCCTCTTGGCAGCACTTGGGGCATGATGCTAATCAGTACTTGAATAACGTCAAGTAAAACTCCCAAATCAGGCAATGTTATAATAATAAAGCTGAAGCTAGTTTCTCATTATTTAATAAGCTGACAGAAGATAAGTGTTGTGCAAAAGTCTTGAGACACCCCTCATTCCTTGATGTTTTATATACAAAAATGCAAAATAGTTGCAGTGATTTCTTGAAATGTGCAAACATTGAAATTCAGTAAATAATGCAAAACCAAGCTCAATATTTGGTACGGCCACCTTCCCACATAGCAACCAGGTCTGGCCCGGATCTGGTATCAAGCCGGCACTGCTGGCTGACTTCTGGCATGATAAGACAGATGTCATCCAGATATGGGCCAGGCCTGGCATAGATGGCACTGTTTATGTGATGGCATGCCATATCTGGCTCGATTGTGGTTTGGTTTATGTGGCCCAGGCCCATAGAAAACAGGTCTGGCCCGGATCTGGGCTTCAAGCTGGCAGAGTGTATGTCAACCAGATGTGTGCCAGGTCTGGCAGTGATGGCACTATTATTGTTCCTATTTTCCTGTTTTAGTTAGAAGACCCAAATGCCATGTTGCAATACAATACTGCTATAGTAGCTGGCTGTAGCTCAGGAGGTAGAGCAGGTCACCTACTGATTGGAAGGTTAGTGGTTTGATCCCTGGCTCCTTCAGTCTGTATGTCAAGAGTGTGAATGTGTATGAATGTAGTTAGGAAGCACTCAGTTAACAGAAAGTGTGTGACTGGTGACTGTGGCATGTTGTATAGAGCACTTTTCGTGGGAGACTAGAAAAGCGCTATATAAGAATCAGTCCGTTCACTGTCTGAACAGAGTTATGTTACTTTTGCACTGTTTTGCATGTTCTGGCACATGTTGTTATTACATGGCTTGATTAAGGTACACATTAGGCTGACACCTGGGCCAGAGCTGAAACTGTTCTGGGCCCGCACAGGGCCAGCAGTCTGTCTACAACTCATGGCTCATGGCTGCACACAAATTACACGTGGCCCACCTACCGCAAAGAATGACGGCCCTTTGGTGGCCCAGACTTGGTTTGCCAGGGGTGGCCCACACATGGGCCAGCACAAGGCCAGTTGGATAAACACTGGTGGTCCTGTGCTGGCCCATGTGTGGACAATTTCTGGTAAGGCTTCAGTGAACTATAGATGGAGCAGCTGCAGAGCCAGATACCTCTTTCAGGGCCTGTGTCACATCTCTACTGATTTTTTTTTCCAGAAACTGTTCATCTACTGTAGATAGTCTTTTCAGGTCTAACACCTGCATGACATTTGTTCTTCATTTGTTCAATTTCTTCACAGTTTTTCAAGATTACACAGCGTGTGGTGATATGTAAAGTTTATTGTTAATAGTTCTTTGGGAATAACTTTGCTGATGGAAAAACACCATTCTATGCCTGTAACACTGTTTTATTTTTGTTATTTTTACAACACTAAAGCCATCACTTTACAATACTGACATGGGCACCCAACCACCTTGCATTTTGCCTACTTTGAGCTAAATTTTATCATGAACACCTGAGGGAGCATGGACACTCCCCACCCTGCTGATAGCCTTCTCTGATATGTGATACTGAGGTGGTAGCAAGGTGTGCTGCAGTTCATTCAATTGTCAATTGGAGAAAAGTTATTTAAAAACTTTTCTCCATAAAATCTATTCTTAACACAATCAGGTTTCTAATGACTAATGTTTGATGAGGCACCACAAGTACAAGTATCATCTGTAATATTACTCACTGATCATGAGGCCATGACAGAGTTCGAGTGGGGCTCAAACTAATTCCACAATAAATACTGAAATTTCATGCCTAGTGTGAACGCTAACAGTTCGAAGTATTTAAGAGCTTTGATTCATTCGCAGCTACTGGGGCCCTCACTCCCACTTGAGTCTCAATAGATTACAGTCCTGAGTTCAAGTAGTTTCAGTGGTTGCGTTACACAATCTAAGTTTTTAGGCAATGAAAAACATGCAATAGATAACAAATTAAAATGAATCCCCATAGCCCCGGTGATGCAATCGAATTGATATATGTCTGGATTGCATATTTTAATATCCAGTCGAAGCTTGTTGATTGCAGACTCAGAAAATTTAATCATAACACCAGTCAACACTTACTTTTATAACTGACTATTACCCAGGGAAGGACAATGGCAGAGCGCGTGCTAAGCAGCAGGTTGATTTCGGCATCTGTCACACCAAGGACGGTGTCAGCATGTAAAACACAAGATTTGTCATAGTTGAGTAGATGCCGACATGACTGCTTCATTTATCTGAGACAGTAGGGGAGGTGGGATGTATAGAGTGGGTTCTTGGACACGATTCTCTATGTATGTGTCATAACAGCAGTTAGTCCCACCACCTACTGAGCACAGCAGTATTAGAACACCGCGTGGGCGAAACAAGGCTTCCCCCAACTAAACACCATGTTAACCTAATCCGGATTTGTGTGATTTTAGTTAGTGTTCACGTAGATGATTCAGTAAAGGAACAAGAGGGCTCATTTCACACTCTACTAACACATTTTTCATTAGGAATTAAAAGAGAAACACACAGGAAATCTGCTCATTGAGAGATTTCCAGACAGCCTTGTTTACATATAGAGACACAGATGCTATGTGTTGATATTAAATAATAAAAAGGTCACCGAGCCAGAGTATTACATTATAAATAACTACTAAACCTTTAAGATAAAACTGTAGACTTTGCAGCTGATTTGAACTGGCTTTTGAAAATATGACAAAAAAGAAATCAAATCAGCCCACGCTTGTGAATCCACACGTTTTCTGTGGGTGGCAGGGGACGTTGGAACAGGAGAGAAGAGAGACTGAGGGCGAGTGTGAGGGGGAGGTGGGAGAAAACCAGAGGAGGGGGAGGTATTGCGGTGTACCTGCTGGCCAAAGCGATTCTCACAATTTGATTGAGCTTTATATTCAGCTCTGCAGGCCCCATTGTTTCCACAGTTCTCGGAAGTGAACAACTAAGATTAGTTTTTTTTTTAAATGCAGGTGTAGATTTAAAAGATTTCCTGACAAAGGGTAACTACCACCGCAAGCAGATTTTTTTGCCATGTGTTACATTATTGAGTTATTAATAGACATGTAGTAGATATGGCAACATTATAAAAAGCAAAGGGTTAGAAAAGACCAGGCTCAGACACCGACCTATAAATAGAAATTACATAGATACCACGAGATGCTTTTTGGAGTTAATCCAGTGTGAAAAAGGGACCGGCTCTGTGGGATTGTTGGCTTTTTTTGAAGAAAAGATGGCAATCAAAAATTTTCCATGGTATTTCAAGTTTCAGACATGAAATCGTACTCATATCTTCATGCAATCATCAAAGTTTACTTTTGATTTCAACACTCCTTTGTGAGGCTGCAGCACTTAGATTTCTTTATCAATTCATCTTTCATTGCTTTTTAATTAGTATTTACTTAATTTAATCAGAAATGTCATGAAATCACAAATGTCTCTTTACAAGCTGATGGCTTTGGATATTTTGTTGTGGACAACTAAAGGTGTTAAAACTCAAAGATATTCAATTTACAATAGGTCTCAGTTGGATAGAAATACTTACACAGTAGTTTTTAAGGTTACATCACAGCAGCAAGAAGAAGAGAAATGTGCCAAAAAATAATAGGAATGACTTTCTATTGAACTGGACCTTTCTTTAGATTATACAAGATATTCAAATATTTGTAGTAAGCCGTACAATACGATTAAAATTGCACTCCATATGTTCTGTGTATTTGAGTTTAGATTTTGGCTTAAAGCTGTAAGATTTGTGTAATACCCCTCAGAGTGATGGTAGGTTTGTGGGCGGGCAGCAGTGAGTGAGTAAATATGGGAGTTAAAGTGACTCAGTCAGGAGGTGGCCTGAAAGGATCCATGGCATTTGAACAGCCTCAATAATTTAGTATTTGGTCACTTAGAAGGAAACACTAAAAACAGCAACAAGCAATGTGAGGCCACTTTACTCAGACCACACTACTGACAGCATTTGCTTGATTGCAACATGATAACATCTTTTTACTACATTAATAATGCCGCACCATTTAATTGTTGTTGTTTTTTTAAATCATGTACAAAGGGCTTTACTTTAGATGGTGCATACAGTGCTAACATGGTGCATTTGTGTTGAACTGTTGCTGAGTCAATACAATCTTTTTGGTGTTTTGCTGTCTGACCTGTGAGATGGGTATGGGGTAAGGGCCCGGAAGATTTTCCTGAAGCCGTACAGGGTCAGGTGATGCCCAGGTGTTTCCTGTCACCTCAACAGTAACAATGCCAGCGGAGAAGAAGGCATCCGCCCTCCCAGCCATATCCTTCACCATCACTGAGAGCTTGTAACGACCACACATCTCTGGGTCCAGAGTAGAGGCTCCTGGTGGTGACAGAGGCATAAATTATACAAGAAAGCCTACAAGACTTTCTACAAGACAGCACTTTATTGGAACATATGTTTTACTTTCCAGAGTGCAAAAAGGCAAAAGTCCTGAAAGCTAAACAAGCAAACACACCATAATAACATAAAGACAATCCAATAATCAAAGCATTAACATGTCCTCACATGTCTGAGTGCTCCTTCTATCCCTTCTTTTGCAATTTCTTTGTTAAATGGAAGCAAAATAACATAAACAGCCGACTTGAAGTGTAATTGTGACCAGGTAGCCTAAAGAAAAGGTGCAAAAATCAAGGAGGCAATTTTCACTGCTGCTCATCTTGTGGAAATCATCAGCAGCGTGGGCCAGAAAGGACCGGCAAGTGTGAAAGTCATCCAGCTCCTGCCAAACCGTAGCAAAGGGCAATTCCAAAGCTACAGAAATAGCACTGGCACACAAGAATTTCTCGCATGTGTGTCCGCTGGACTAGAAGCGATATCACTGAATAATGTTATGGTAATACTTTTGTATCAAATATTTATACATTACTGGCTTTTTTGTGATGTCAGGCTTTTCCAAGACTTTTCATTATGTTCACATTTTGATCCTGTTTTAACAACTTCAACTTGCGTTTCTCAGAAGTGTTTTAAAGGTTCTGTACATATGTCTGCCTCTATGATTAGAAACTGACCACCAACAGCTTTTTCAGGAAAATATCAATAATAAAAATATTTCCTGATATTCTTTGTTTTGTTTTATGGGGGAAAAGGATTACTTGGTGTGAGTATTGTGCTCCTGCAGACAACATATTTGGACAATAACAGATTTCCTTTACTTAAGCACATTCATGTGGAAATAAATGAGATATTACAGAGAATTTACTTTTTGATTTTAATATGGAATTATTTAAATCACTTATTTAAATAAAAGAATTGTGTTTTAGAAACGTTTACACACACTAGATGTTTAAAGGTTATTGGACACTTGGATGCTAAATCACTGGTGGACTGAAGTGCATCGTTTCAGTGTTGATATCTGCAGAAAAGAGCTCACAGCAGCTCATACATGGGCTACAATTTAGATTCCATTGTGACAATGAAGAAGATAATAATGAGGTTCACTGTCAAAGAGATATAAAAATAGTTTGCCATAGTCAATATCTGGATTTTTTTTTCAAGCAAAAACTATGCATGCACATGAAATCTAGACAATTGCTGGCAACATAGTAGACCAATCAGTGCAAGTCTTGTGCATGATGGTGAAGATAAACCTGTTTATGACTGCAAATCAAGTCAAGAATGCTCGACATTGATGATGGTGAGCATGTTTCCCTCTCTGTCTCTAAAGCCTTAACAGAAAACAGTAAGGTTGTGTAATGGTTTTGTGGCCTTGTGAAATGAAGTGAAAGTAAAGAAAAGAACTGCTCATGACCCACAGCGTACCAACACAGAGCTGCTTCCTTTTGTTGCTTTGGCATGCGTGACTGCTATTGCATCTGATTTCATTGCTGAATGGAGCAACGGGCTGAATGAATGAGGTAGAGGAGCATCCGGTCCATTAGAATTCACTGCATGCCATTTCATCATTCAAGAGGACAAACTGTCTACATGATAAGCTCCTAAGAAATAAGAAAGCAATTTTTAATAAATGTAAAGAGTTGGCCTCTCAAATTGCAGAAAGTTAAACCTACATTGTAACGCTGCACTCTAGGTGACCCTCCACGCTGATTTGTTGGGAAAATATATGTTGAAGATTCCCTTTATGGATAAAACACTCCCCACAAAATTATCTTGACTATTTCCTTTCAGCGGCTGGTTGAGACTGACCTTCCTCAGTGAGTGAAACCTCCCCAGAGACGGCATGGATGGAGAACATTTGGCTGGAGGGAATCCTGGGTGTTTGTTCCATCAGGCTGAAGCGCAGATCAGCGTGGGGACTGTTGCGGTCGTCGCGATCTAGCGCTTCCACTTGCATGAATGGTATTCCTGAGAGATACGGGTGACACAGAATTAAAGAGTGGGACAAAATGTCTCAATTTCCATCCTAACTATACCAAGAAAACATGCTGATGTGAAGGCAAAAGAACAAAAACATGGGTTGTGTAACAGCAAATCTTAAAAGTTAAAAGATGAAAACTCTACAAAATGCCTAGTCTGCACAGACAGAGTAAAACAGTAACAGAATTAGCTTCAGTGAGTTGACCTTTGTGGGAAATTCAAACAGAAAGCTGATCAACACAAAGGTGTATGTACCATCATGGTTTTCTTAAATGAGAAATACATAAAAACATAATGGAGTTAATACTATGAGCTAGACCCTGTGTATATCGAAAGGACTTCAGATGGAATACACTGGGGCCTTTGTATCAAATAAATGTGATCACCAAAACCCATGACAAAGTCTTTTTGTGTGTGTGTGATTGAAATGATGCTGTTTGCAACGTTATTAAATCTATTTATACTGATGTTAAGGTTAAACTGCCGTTTCCACGGAGATATGAGGCATGTTTTTTCACTGTTGACGACATTCAGCATATTTCATAAATCAGGACTGACGAATGTGACCCAGCCTTAAATTGGCTGTGTAATACGTTCACATCTGAGTGCAAGGTTCTCGTACCCTTGAGAAGCCCGAGCTGCACGCTGCCTCTCATGCTCTCCTCTATGAACGTAGGCACGTTGTCATTCTTGTCGATGACACACACTTCAACATTGAAGCTCTGATGATGCACTGACGTTCTGAAGGACACCTGTGACGCGAACACAAACATGTTCTGTAAGAAACACATGCTGGAGCCCGCGTCCACCCTGTTCATGCGAATCGTTTAGCAGCCCCAAACTGCTTTGAACAACAGCACGTGATCATTATGAACAAGATGATGAACAAGAGTATAAAAATGTATTTTCTATGTGAACTATCTGTATGGCACATTGGAGAAAGTCATTCATTAGCCGAAACATGACTGAAAATTGCTTTTGGTGCACTATGATCAGAAAAGAAATGTTTTTATACCTGCAGAGAGTAAGATGGCTGCTTTTCCCTGTCCAGTGGTTTTAGGGCGTACAGAAACTGAGCATCGACTCCAAATATGCCCTCATCATCTCCTGTTACCACCAGGTCACTATAATTAGATGGCAGGCTTTGAAGCTGTGGGGATGAAGACAAAAAGTATGCATGAAAACAATCAGTTTGTCATCCTGGTTAATGGTTAATGAAAAAACAGGCACTACAAGCAACTACACAGATGCACCTGCATTTAAACTAGATGACATTGCAACAAATGCAGCATGATTAAAGTGCAAGCGATAATCTGCTCTTCACGTTTTATCCTTTTCTGGTAAGTTGGTTAAAATTGAGCTTTTTTTACTCTCTGCCGTGTTCACTAAGAGACAATAATTGAGCTCCCACAATAGCTGACCACCATTTGTTCCATATGCCTTATGAGAAAGCAGAGCTGTGGTTTGCCAACAAGCAGCAACATTCCTTTGGGCTTCTTGTGAAAAAAATAACATTCAAATACTTGAATAAAAGATAAAGGAAATTCTCAAAGTTGAATCTAAATCCGATGTCTTCATCTGGAGGCTACGCGTTTGTCTCTCTTTATTCACTTTGTTAGTTAAAAGTGTGCTAATCTGCTTAAAATAGCCCCAAAAGAGCCACAAAGTGTACTTATGTTTGAATAAGATAGAGTTTGAGTTAGACTGAGTAGGACATCTTTACTTCTTCTTCGCCTTCTTTAGACACCTCCCTTCAGGGGCCACCACAACAGATCATCTGCCTCCATCTCACCCCGTCCCAGCTCTCACATCATCCTTCACTGCATTTATGATTTATTTTGAGGTCTTCTGGGTGGGTGAAAGGGCATTACCAAAGCAGGAATGGACCAACAGGCTGATTTGTTTGAGCTTTTATAAGTGTTTTATTGACAGTAAAATATGCTTTAGAATTTCTATTTACCAGCCTCCTGCCATTCAACTTCCCCAATGACGAAATTACTTGATTACAAAAAATCCATACAATGTTGCAGTGCTTAATGAGAGGACGCTCATGGATGCTTTGAAGAAAAAATATAGCAGCGTCTGAAAAATCTACTTTAGAGCAGACGCTGAAACTGCGTATTTACAGTAATCTGCGAGTTTAGCCCTCTCTGACGAACACAACTTCATGAAAAGGTTTTTGCCTTAAACGAATGTGAAGCAATTATTATGTCTATTCCATTTATAACACAAAGTGGGGTTATTATCCTCCATTGTGGCCATTAACAGGCTATTTGTGTGTGAGTCAAAATGACACCCAGACTGACATCAAAGCCTAAATATATTCCTATGTTTCATACAAGACGTGACGACACCACAGTCCAGCCCAATAAAATGCCAACATTCATGCTGTTGCATAACCCAGAGGAGGTCTGACTGACAAGTATGAATTAAACATCCTGTCTGCCACCCAGATGGACTATATGCAGAGACTGAGGCTGACACCTGACAAGCATTGTGAACATGCCAATTACCAGGTTTATACACTTTCAGGTCTGAGTGCAGGAAAACACACAGATCCAGCTTTGGTTTGCAGCATAATTTCCTTTTCTATCAGTTTATTTTTCAACATGTTACTGATTACCGAATGATGATTTTAAATGTTAAATCTTGATTAAATTTTGCATTTCTGACTTTTAAATAGTGAAAGGTCACGCTTACAACACAGAATTCTTACCAAAGTGCATTTGAAATCAAATCAGCTTGTATTTCTGCTTAGATATATAATTACCTAATCGCCATGATTAAAAAGGTTACGTTTAGAGAAACACATCTGCTTTCTTGGAAAATGAGCACAAGAAGTACAAGAAGTTTTAAGTGCCTTACCTTGGTTAGATACCATGGGAAAATACCATCGTAGTTTTCAGGGACACCAATTTTAACATTCGTCCCAGCACATGGTGTAGATGTATAAAGTACTGCCCACTGTGAAACAAAATATTGTCTTGGTAGCAGCTAAAGGTTCATGCAATAATGTTATCTTAGTATGAAAGGTTAATGTAATACAAAAAAATCTGCTTACTATGAGAGCTGTGAAGAGCATTGGTGTAGCTCCTCTCTCGGCCATGTGCCCCCTGCAAACGGGATAAATGTATAATCATAGCATTTCAGACCAACTGGTCTTAGCACGACAAACACTTTGTTAAAGAGGCACCACTTACGAGAGGATTTCGCAGTTTTTAAATGAGCAACAGCGTGCACTCAAATGCACAACCACCTATGAAACCACTACATGCCACATTTGAGCCCACACAGTGGACAACAAGAAAGACACTTTTGATTGGAAAGCAAAAGTCAATTTCTTTTTAGGTTAATCTAAAAACAAAGCGTATTTCATCATTAATGCCTGACAAATATCTTGTAGCTGTGTAGCAGTACCCAATCACTCTGAATTATGGTCATGGTAATCACTTACAAACTCCTCTAGCTGCAATTAAAGCCTCCAAAGTACAAAAGATAAGCTGTGGGTATACTGTAGCTCGACAGTAATTATGATATAGGAACATGCAATTAATAAAGAAAATTAATAAACAAACTCTATTCTCTAAACAAAAATGTTTCATCTTACCTTCTCCAAATGATGCGTGTGCTCCCTCTGAGAGGTGTGAGAGGAGTTTAAATTGGGTGGAAAAACTGAGCACTTGTACTCCTTTTGGTGGATTAATGGTTAACACTTTGCGAGGAACATGCTTAACTGCCTGTTTTCCTTCCTGCAAAACCAGTGACCAGTGAGGTTCCATTGCACCGATAAGATCAAATGAATATTGATGAGGATGTACGTCCACATTTACTCAATTTCTGCTGCGTTACGCTGAATGCCTCGGTGCCTTGGGATTAAAGACAGAAGGCAGTTTATGGATTGTTTTTTATATTTTATTGAAAAAGGAACTCAACGTAAAAAGAATTTTCAAATCATGTCAAAATTCACAAGACTAGTATAACTTATTGCTTTACTCAGACATTCACAACCTGAATTCAGCGTTATGGGAAAAAAAACATAGAATAACAGATGTTTTGAATAGTCCTCAGTAACTCTGCCGAGGCACGAACCTGCGTACCACACTTCAAGTAAAATATGACTCCAGAATACCTATCATCATTATCCTTTGCCTTGTCTTACAATACAATGAGATGTATGTTGCCTTCAGCGTGACTCAAATATTAGTATATACATCACCCCCCACCCCCTACCCATTTAGTTAAAGGGCACAACATTAACCTAACCGCAAGGCAATTTCGCAGCACATAGAAATAACAAGCCTTTGTGGATTTTTTTTTTCATACATACTGATGACAATGTGTTTAAGGCAGACAATAAAATAAATGCAGGTTATCACCATGATATAACTCAAACAACATCAGTCATTTCATTAACAATAGCTTCTTTTTGCTTTTGGTTGATGTCTAGAAAACAAAAATATATTTCAGTACAGTTCTGTTAGTCCTTTTGGGTTAGTGTTAAAACACACAGCATCTGGTCTTCAGAGGCCAAGGGGGAAAAAATTGTCCTTCTGTCCCATCTGTCACTCAGAGAACTGTTAGGTCATGGCAGGACTTTGACTTCTGCCTGAAAGCCATTTTCTTGTTCTTGCGTGCGACCATGCGACCCAAAAACCTTTTAGCCTTCTTGCCGATGCTCTCTCTGCGTCTGCAGTTGGCCATGCGCCGGGCGTTCTCCTCCTTGCTGTCTTTTCTCAAACGGATCTGTCTGACGATGCCCTCAAACAGGTCCTGCACATTGTGGTGAAGTGATGCAGACGTCTCGATAAACTTGCAGTCGAATACCACTGCACAGGCACTTCCTTCTGTAATGCAGAACACAGGAAAGAAGATTAAAACCCTGAGAAAGTTCACACTGAAATGGAAAACTGTAAGCTTAGAGATGACGAATTAGCCCTAAGTCATGAAAGCGGCAAATCTCTGGCAGATTGCTTGAGCTGCAGAGGAACCTGAATCAACCTGAGCAGTCAGCTGTGAAAAGTGGATTGACCCTAGCAAAATCAGTGAAGCTCAACCATCTGTCAGATTCTGTCTTGAAATGCCTCAAGCAAGGCTTTAGTCAAGTGGATTCAAATCTACCTCCCCTGACTGCACATTTTAAGATCGAGTTTATTAATCTCACTTACCATCTACGGACACCTCTCTGGACCGCACCAGGTCACTCTTGTTGCCCACAAGGATTATGGGAATGTTCTCTGACTGTCTGGCACGGCGCAGCTGAATGCGGAGCTCCGATGCCTTCTCGAAGCTTGATTTGTCTGTCACTGAATACACAATGATGTAGGCGTCTCCCATTCTCATGCACTGGTCCTTCAACCACTGGCTGTTATCCTTCAGGAAAGAAACAGAGACTAAATTTAACATCATACATGGCTGAATGCACCTTTTACAATTTCAAAATCCCTGAATCAATGCAAATGGACAAATACTTCATTAATAATATATAAGTCTCACCTGTTCCCAGATGTCATACAACACGATGGATGCCTCTTCTTCATCCACCAACATAGATCTATCGTAAGTGTTTCCTAAGGGAGGAAAAATAAATATTGTGTTACACACTGGCAGGCAGAGCAAAGTGTCTTTTATCTGAGCAATCGTGTTTGCTGTCAAAGTGTGTTGCTGCTATTTTTTTTCCACTCTGATTTTTGGCACTTTTTTTTCTTTCTGAGTCTACTCATTAAACCAGATCACAGTTTGTGATCACGCCATCACTGGCCTTTTGTAGTTTCCCTTCACATAGTGCTATTGGGTGTGCTTCTGACAGCTGGTGCCGCACTGTATGTGGAAATAGCAATAATCAATGCATGCACAGTCCTCATATAATACTGAATTGTACAGCTTTAGTGCAGCCTTTCTGTAATTTAAAAAAACTGCAGCATTTGTTTTAAATCTACTGGAAATAAGTGTGGTGATGTAAATTGTAATAGTGCACTTAAAAAGTAATATTACTTTAAAATATGTCATAACCGTCCTTCTATATATTTTAGTGTTTGTTCAGTATTGTATAAAATAAAATAAAGCAGCCGTTGGCATGCCCATTTATTACATATCTTCACAGACAATGAAATATCTTCATTGTGTGTGTCTGAGAGTGTGGGTTGCTATGGTTGATGACTCATCCCCAGCATCACCATTTACCTGCTTCATCGCAGTCGTGACTAGCATCCTCAACTCCTCCAAAGACGCGCGCCAGGCTGGACTTGCCGACACCGTGCTCCCCGAGGAGAACCACTTTGTACACCTGGGAGTCCGCTTCGCTGCTGGTGGAGATCACCGAGTCGGAGGAGTCTGAGGCGTAGCTGCCACGGTGCTGCTCGCTTGGGGAGTAGGACGTGCACCGCAGTAAATTGGACAGCTCGTCGGTCTGTCCCGTCTGTGGCGTCGTGGCGCGCAGGTCGCGGTCGTCCACGGGCATGCTTCTCCTGTGTAGATTGGGTAAATTCATTGGGAAGGGCACGCTTCCTCTCCTCTTGTCCATGTTCCTCAATTTGTCACCCTTGTTCAAAGTCATTGTGCTTCTATCGAGGATCTGTGGATAGATGTGCCATGCGTAAATTTGCGATCATTTCAGCCACATTTAAAGAAAGAAGCGCTATCAAGGTCTGCACAGAAATACAGTGGGAGATCATTTTACAAATATGTTTACCATTGTAAGTCATATTGTAAAATAAAAGCTGTTATCCCACATTTAAAGTAAATATATATAAAAATGGTCGACCTGATCTGCCCACATGTTTATTCACAAAAAAAGGTCAAAATCTAACCAAAGCTTGAAATCTCTCCCCAGCGGCCCCTTAAAAACACTTACTCGGTGCTGAAAATTAAATCCAACGAAGGCAATCCAGTAATCCTTGGTATAAAAAGTTGCTGTAGTCGAAAAGCGGTTTTTGCTCGAGTCTGATCAGAGTCGCTGCTCGGGTTATTTATACAGGAGTAGAGTGACGTAGTAGGGATTCGCCCCGGAGACTCGCGTCTCCGTTTATTGTAGTGGTGCGTAACGGTAACATCATGCTGCGGAGGGGGTGTATGATTGGAAGAGCTGAGGAATCTCCCTTCCGCATCCTCAAATGGAGCTTACTTGTGAGGGGGCGGCCAGAGATGAGACTTTGAAGAGGGGAAACCCACTTAAAGCTGGAGTATAAATATTTGATATATATCTAGGAGATGGTTCTAGGTGGGATGTTATAGCCTCACATCGTCACGATGCAAGTGTGTTCAGGTTCACACACTAAATTAATTATCTTAACGAAATGTGTTGTCTGGATCCAACTGATCTGATCTATGAGCACCGTGGCCACAGCGCGGTGGTCAATGCTACATGTATGTAATATCATGAGAATGATATTATGATGATAATATAATATAATATAATATAATATAATATAATATAATATAATATAATATAATATAATATAATACATACTTTCTATAAAAAGCTAAATATTTGTAATTAGACAAGGGCTTCATACAACCACATTTAAATTAAATTTTCGGAGCATTTTTAAACGGTGCTATAAATGCATAAAATTTTAATACACTGTAGGTGGTGGATTATACTCCATATATCCCACCACCTTGGTCTTTCCACGATGAAATAAATGATGCAATCATCAAAACCGTCCTTGAATTTGTAGACGCCTCCTCTTAAGCAGCCAGGTCTAATCTTTATCCGTTATTCTGGTTATACTGTTTGACTGTGCAAAAGGCTTTAAATGGTGTGTGTGGAGGCTATTTCTAGTGCTAAAGGAGAAACACAGAAAGCCTTAGTTTTCTATATTTCACGTCTGGATGTATTGATATGCTAAATATGGATCCAGCATATTCTGCATAATTATTTGGCTGAATATCAGGCCAACAGCATGACGGCACGGCTGGTAGTGATATTGTTAAGTGTCACGTTCAAGTGGATATTGTAAACTCTGAATGGTGCGTTTCTGCCCTCTTGTGGTTACGTGCAGGCATTACAGTTGAACCTTTTGAACTCGACTATAGTGTGCCAGGTGTTTAATATTATAATACTGCACAATGAGTGTGACTTAAGTATTACTTCTGCTGATGTTTGCATTTTTCCACTGTAATTTTCACTATTAAAGAAACTAAATCTTTCAACATTACATAATCAAGTATAGTTTAGTTCACACCACCCTGAAAAAACAAACCATCACTACACCACCCTGGATTTATACTCTTTTCCAGAAAATAGCTGATATTATGTAACTGAATGATGTTTAAAACACAAATGGAAAAAAATCACATACAGTTAGTCACAAATACTTATTTTTTAAAAATTAAGTCCAGCTTGTTCTCATCATATTTCAGCTTCTCCAACACAGTTTCCATATTCTCATGTATTTAACTGGACAGAATGAACAGTTCCCACGGATGCAGAGTAATTGCCGCTTTTAAGTAGGACACCTTTTAGACTGGCATTTGTACAGACAAGGAACAGCCTCCATCACTGGATGCAGTGAAACATTCAAAGATATAGAAAAATATAATAATAAAAATATCTGGATCGTGTTTCTAATTGCCACTTGTGAAACAACAAAATGAGAAAGAAAAACTGACATTATCTTTTAAATCAGCAACCCAAAATGTGTAAATAACATGTACAGCAAATGTGACACATGCCTTTCTCAGATGAGACATCATGTCGCCATCTATTGGCCATAACACAAATACAACGAATTTGTATAAAAAATAAAGCCATATAAGATGCATAGATTTAGTAACTGAATAAACATTAGTAAAATAAATAAATAAATAAATAAATTTCAGTAAAAACAGTACAGAACTTTGGATTTGACAGAAAGTTTTTATAATGCTTCCTTCTGAGGTGATTTCTGATATTCCTGTGTTTTTCATGTCAATTGTCTGTCAGTTGCTTATATTGGTAAGTATACTGTATCCACCACGATTTACGAAAGAGTTATAAGATACAAGAATTACCAGTTTTGTTATCTTAATGACTTTGCGTTTTTTTTTTATCTACATTAGCATCAACCAAGTACTTTTGGCGACTTAAAATATATTTATAGAACTCTTATCTTACGTTTGGTGCAATTTCTGCAGCTTGACAGATTATACGCCAACAAGTCATTTACAAAAGTTTTAAGGCTCTTGTGATCAATTTGGCAGATACCGGAAATCACTTTTTTCCCATGACACCGGAAACCAACCAATAAATGTGACATTGCACATGCGCAAGCCTCTCGTGCGTTCGACCTCTACTGCAAACCGGTGAGTGCTAGCCTCCTCTGTCAGAAACTGGGTTTGAATTAAATATATGCTCTTAAGTGTTCTTTGTTGCTCCGTATTTTTGTAGTCTATTATTCACAGCGTCGTGTAGCTCGTCTGATTTTCAGCTAACTTGCCTTTAGCGGTATTGTGCGGTTTTTTTCTCCTCTTGACCTTAATTGCGTGTCTACCTGATTTTTGCAGACTTTGTACTTGGTTGTTTAGCAAAAGGCGCAGTGTCAAATAGCTAACGCTTTGTTTTTTGTGTTTCATGTGTTTTTAATCTGTAGACTTCGGATAAACTCCAGCTGCTGTGGGTGACCTGACCAGAACGTCCCATCGTAATGTATGCCTGCTCTAAGTTCGTCTCCACGCCCTCTCTGGTCAGTTTGATTGAATGAATGAAAACTGATAATTGCTAAACTGCGCCTGTTTACTGATTGAGTATTGTTAGCTGCACTTCCGTCATTGTAAATTATTATAAAGTAGGCTGCTAACACTGGCTGCGAAGCAGTCTTTGACCCTCTGCTAAAGTTAGCTAATGCTCATACCTACAAGGACGTCCTAGCTTCTAATCAGGAGGAAGCTCACTGTGTTGGTTTTCCATCATTTCCTCCAAGTCCACAAACTTAATCTAAAGGATATAACGTATTCCATGTAAGGCTTGAAAAGAGAATCAAGAGAAACATTTTAATGGGTCTCTGTTATTGACTTGTAGTGTTATATATATGTAAAAGCTTTGTCACTGCAGCTGATGTAGGTCTTTCTAATGCTGTTCTAGCATAAATTATGGCGAATCATGTCAAAACACTTTCCCCCCTCTAACACAGGTCCGTGCTGGATCCAGGGCGCTGTACAGACCGCTCTCAGCAGCAGTAGTGTCAGACGGCAGGAGAGCAGAGGTGAGTTGCCCGCAGAGCACACCATTCATCAAGTGACATTTGTCATTTTCTATATTAACACTGTGCAAAAAATAGAAAAGGTAAAATACGGATTTGTTTTATTTTAAGTTAAACGGTAGTAGTAGCAGTAGTTGCATATATATTTGAGATCTTCTAACAAAGAAGCACATTGATTGTTTTTATTACCAACAAATAGTGCCACCCTGCTCACATTATCCCAAAGAAACATTTCTGCAGGCTGAACTGTATATTGAATTGTTAACTGTGGAATTATGGCCACATATCGTAATCGGGTAGATTTAACATGCTGTCTTTGGTCAGAGCCAAAGCAAAAATGACTAATTCATTGTTATGAAAGAACAAACAGAACGAGAGTGTATGAAACGTCTTCCATTTTGTTTTTGCAACCCTACACACTGTGCATCTGTGTATTTCTGTTATAAATATACAACTATAATAATCTTCAAATGGGGAAAACTCCATGTGGGCGTTATTAAAGTTAAATGAGAATCTCAATAACTAGTAACTAAATTTTATAACGGTAAATCTTCATGTTCCCACAAAAATGGGCCATAATGTGATGAGGTACGAATAGAAGCTAGATGTAGTACATCTTAAAATAAGTTTTCTTTAGAGAGGTCTTATTTGATGGGTCTAAATTTTTAGCAGAAGTAATGCTTGCATTAGAAGTAAACTTTACCGTGTGGGAATTATTGTGTTTGATAGTTTGGTGGTTGTTTTTCAGACTGCTTCGCTTCTGGCACCACTGAGCGGCGGTGTCTCCCAGCAGCAAGTGGCATTGCGGGGATTCCAAACCAGCGCCGTGAGCCGTGACATCGACACTGCTGCCAAGTTCATTGGAGCAGGAGCTGCCACTGTGGGAGTCGCTGGATCTGGAGCCGGAATTGGGACAGTGTTTGGCAGCCTTATCATTGGATATGCCAGGTAAATTTAACAAGTCCCCTGTAGTAGTAATGAGGCCATTTATTTTATTTTTACTGTCGAGAAGCGAACGTTTTAGTCTTGTTTACTTAATACCCAAGTTCTTAAAATAATGTGACCTAGTGAACAGGTAATGACAAAAGAAAGAGGAGACCTGAGTAGATTTCTGCCATTTGGTGATTAATTATAAAACCAAAAGATACTTGGCATACTTCATTCTAAATGGCATCACTTAAAATCACTGGGAAAGTGAAGTTAGAGGAATAATGTTTGTTCGTGAAAATAAGATATTAAAGACTTATTTAGCACTGACTAATTATTGATTGTGCTTTAAGCCAAGTCAATCATGGAAAACTTTGGTCTAGCTGTACTTCTTAGGCATCAGCACTACTTAATCTATCTCACTGGCCCCTCTGTCTTCACAGGAACCCCTCTCTGAAGCAGCAGCTGTTTTCTTACGCCATCCTGGGCTTCGCTCTGTCTGAAGCTATGGGTCTCTTCTGTCTGATGGTTGCATTCCTCATTCTGTTCGCCATGTAAAACCAGCTGTGAAAGGATAACTCACAATGTTAACAAGAATAAGCAGTTTGAACAGCTGTGTGATTGCTGGTTATCATGTTTATCTTTGTGTTCTTGAAAGATCTGAATCCATTCACGTATGAAACTCTGGCAAAACATTTCAAGGACTGTTGTGTCCTCGTTGTATATTTAATCAGCAGTTTTTGTTAACAAACATGCAACCAGTAACAGAAATAAAATGTTTAATTCCTCAATTGTTTTTGTACATTTGTGAGGGGAGGTGGGAGGGCTTTCAATAAACATAATGGGGGATACCTGGTAGGATCATGGACCTGTTCCCTTTTAAAAGAAACTCGTACTCTTGTAATGCCAAGCTGTGGAATGAAGTGATTTAAAAGCAAATGTAGCTTATTTATTTAGATTATGCCCATGGAAATGGGTGCAGCGATTTATTGAAATGTCTAAACCTAAATGGAAATACAACACAAAGGCAAAAAATGTTGAGGTCCGATCTCTGGAGAGGCCAGTCCATGATCGACAGTGTTCAAATTCTGTTTTTTCTATCCAGGTATGCTTTTACTGTGTGTGTGTGTGTGTGTGTGTGTGTGTGTGTCATAGTCAATTAGATGATCAAAATCTGACTCAATTCCACACATCTATGGATAAACTGAACCCCCAAACCATGGCAGAGGCTCCACCATATGTTATAGATGGTTGTAGAACTGCTATATTGCGTCTATTTGAAACGAAATCGACCCTCACTGAGACTAGATAAATCCCTTAGATTATGCTGCTAACAGAGTTCCTAAAATTTCCATTTAAAATCGGTTCCTTGACATTGTACGTTATGTAGACACAAAAGTCCTTCCCCACCTGGGTCTAATGCAGTTTTTTTTTTTTTTTTTTTTTTTTTTTTTTAAATGCTTGGATATTTTGTAAGTCAACCTGTCTCCGCCAGGTTTGAGTCCATTATTACACCCTTACCAACGACAACAGTTTTTCCGGTTTAATAGGTGGAACTAAAGCACCGTTTTTGTAGTGAGGGGAAGGATTTGAGGAACGTACTCGTTAGTTTTTAAGTGTTCGCCAGTGTTTTTTGTGTCAAATAGATTTGAACGTTGCCGAAAATAAATTCGGACGTATCAGCTGTGCAGTATCAATAAGACGGGCTAAATGTTTTCAGTAACGCAGTTGTGCCGTATCTGGAGAAAATCTAGCTTTAAAACTAAGAAGTTAACGCCGACACGTTTGTGGCGGTGTCGCTGGGGTAACTGTGACACAGACCGCGATAATGTATCTCAGCAGCTTAATCCAGAGGATCCCCGAAATAACCAGGTAAACATCAGGGAATATGATGTATCCTACTTTTCCCCCCAGTGTTTGTCATTTACTTTTTACTTTTTTCAACAAAATAGAAAATTCTTAATTTAAATTAAAAAATCTATTATTTGCATGTTTTCAGGGGGATTAAAAGCAGCGTGGTTATTATAGTTTTGTATTTCATTATTTATTTTTAATCAGATTTTTTAATTTCGTCTTGTTTTTTTTTTTTGCTTTTTTTTAACCCAGGCTAGTTTCAGTTTCCAGAGTGTGCTTGCTCGTCCCAATTAAATTTTTAGTTTTTGTAAATGTTAATGTTAAATAAAATGTTTTAATAACATGTTTTTTTATTAGTTGCAATGCTAGTTTTCGCGTTTTTAAATATTGTTGTATTTACTGCAATAAAAACTCATAGCTATTTAAATCAGTTGACTCAGATACTTGTAGTCATCCAAAGTATCAATAAAGATGGACGTCAAAGCCCCACCAGGCTAGTTGGGATAATAAATTTGACCAGATCTATATGTAATACGTACAGTCAAACCTCCCAGGGTTGATTTTACACTGGATATCCACCAGGGGTAGCTGCTGTATAAGACCCTAGTTCTTCTTCTTTTTTCTTTTTTTGTAACTTCACTCTTCCATAACCTAAAGGGAACATCAGCAAAACTTAAATGTGCATCAGTTATTTTTGTACATGAACTATTGAGCTGGAAAATAGAATAAAAAATTAAAAATTGTACATTTATCAGTGTATGTAGTGTTTATTTAAGATGTGTTTCCTGAGATAGTGGTCTAAAAAAGTTTTTACCTGAGTGGGACTTTCAACTTCTAAGCAGAAAATGTGCCTAAAGTGGATTTTAAGTTTACTTTGTATAGATTTGCCTAATTTTATTTCTGCCTGGTCTTCATGTAATAGGTAACAAAAAGGCACAAGAAGCAAAGAACTTTGTGTCAACCAGTGCTTGATCACTTTGACCAGCAGTACAGTGAGGAACTTGGTGACTTGTGGCCATATGCAAGGTAAATTTCACCTGAAATAATCATTATGCACGTGGACAGTAATTCCACCTTTTCCAAACTGAGATTAATTCTGTCCCTCAGAGAAGTGCTGCTGGACCCTCAGTCATGGCAGTATGGCATCATGCTCAATCGCTTCACTGCAGTGACAGGCATTGCACAGATTCTTCGAGCCCAGGGCTTTTCCACATTGTTGCCACAAGCAGATGTCTCAGTGCTGCATTCTAATGGTCCCTCCACGGTGTTAAATTCTAAATACCAAGAAGGAAAAGATACTCTGTCAACTCTCTGCATTTCCAAGGGCTCTCCAGGTGACCCCCATCCCCATCCCCAGTCTGACAACAGCTCCTTTGCACTCGGTCAGGACTCTCAGTCAGAACCCGCCCTCAGTTTTCCTCCTCCTTCATTACAGTGCTACATCCACCCGTCCCCCCTGCGATTTCCCTCTCAGGCTCACAGGCCTGGCCAGCTGAAGCAGTACTACCTCCTCAATGCTGCATCCTTGCTTCCAGTGCTGGCTTTGCAAGTCAAAGATGGCGAAAAGGTTCTGGATCTTTGCTCTGCTCCTGGGGGGAAAGCCTTAGCCATAATGCAAAGTGCGAGCCCAGGTAAAAGAGACATTTTTAGAAGACTTTATTTTGATTTTATTTATACTTAATCGGATTAAAACAACCCCAAATGAATTACTCTATTAGTAAAGGGATGTTCACAGTGTAGCCTTTTTTCCAGATTATGTGTGCTTGGTAAAAAGAACTTGGGGGAAAAAGAAACATGTTGGCTTTTATTTTGAATATTAAACACACATTTTGCATCTAAGTCGCTGCAGATGATTGTAAGGAATATTTTTGTCTGCTGCGAATAACCCATTTGCATTGAATACTATAATCAGTAATGCTGCCCTGTGCTGTGTTCCAGCGCTTCTCTGCTGTAATGAACCAGATCTTCACAGACGGGACTGGCTTGCCAAAACCCTGGAGTCGTTTTTGCCTCACTCACTAAAAAGCAGAGTGATTGTGTCTGCACAGGACGGACGGTCTTTTGGGCAGAGCGAAGCGGGTTTATATGACAAGGTTGGCAAAGAAATCCTATCATGTTTATGGCAGCATGTGATTTTGTCCTGTAAAATAGGGTGACACTTATTTTCCAAGGCCACAGCTACAAATGAATGAGGACAGCAAGCCTTTGAACAGAAACTAATAAACTCAGCAGAGAGGAAAAAAAAGAAAACTGTTTATTCAAACTAGGAGCCAAGAAGAAGCAGACAAATAGCTGGGAGGAATCAAAGAACTCAAAGTGACTCATATTGGAACACAATATTGAAAAAAGGAAAAGGGCTAAAAAGAGTTAGAGTAAGGCACCGTAGGAGGGGAAAAAGACTGAAAGGTAATAGAGTGCAAACAAAATGCAGAGGAGCTTTTTTGAGGGATTTCCAAAATCTGAGAACAAACTTGTTGAAAGGTTCAAAGTTCAGATGTAAAAACTTCAAAGCTGTTGTCTTTTATTCAGTTTTATTTAAATGGTAATGGTTTGGTTTTTAGGGGAAATTTATCTTCCACCTCCACTGACCAAAATTGGTCTGTTGATGGCTCAGGTGCCGTGGGGAAAGTGACATTTATATGGATTATTTTAGATACCTGCAGCATTTTTCATTTTCCTTACATTTTCTTATTCCCTTGCTCTTCCTCTTTGACATGGGCACCAACTACTCGCATTCCTTTCTCTCGCTGCCGTAGGTTTTGGTTGATGCTCCATGTTCTAATGACAGGAGCTGGCTGTATTCGTGCAACAGCCAGCAGGGGGAACAAAGATTGAAGGAGAGAGCCAGGCTTCCTTCACTCCAAGCACAGCTGCTTAGGTAAGCACCCATTCTGACATTGGAAATTCCTGCTTATGCATTAGCCTTATGGTACTCTAATATCTCTACAGGTTGAGAAAAAAAACATTCACTATCCTAATGAGCACGCAATTAAAATGCACTGAAGGAATGAAGGGAATGTACCATAGTCCAGTAGTGAATACAAATGAGAGATAAGTTCTAAACTTGTAGATCAAGAAATGAAGAGTAACTGGATTTAGCAGAACTGCTGTGGGAACATCGTTATTAAATAAGTAATTAGATAATCAAGAAAGATGAGAGGTGAGAAAGGATCAGTCAGGGAGGAAGTGATCCATTACTTAACCGGTTATCCAGCTGGAGCCTGTCCCAGTTATTATAGGGCATCTACAGTCAATTTAGAATCAACACTTAACATAAGAAGCATGATTTTGGACCGTGAGAGGAAGCCGGAGAACCCGGAGAGAACACAAACTCCACACAGGAAGACCCTAGATGTCTCTTGTGTTCAAACCAAGGACCATTTTACTAAGAGGTGACTTTGCTAAACACTGCACCAACCGTCAGTAAAATTACAAACCCCCTGAAAAAAAAGATTTCAGGTAGATTGGATGGTAAATAAACTTTGTTTCAGGTCTCCAACTCAAAATAGCTTGGAGAGTCAAGTGGAAGCTGTAGCAGTTGCAGTTTTAGTTGTAGTTTGCAGATCAGACTGCAGTTAAATCAGTCAAATAACACCAACAAGCACAATATAGAAACAGCATATACAGTTTTTTAAAGTGAAAATGTGTATTGGTTGGTTGAATGGTTACAGCATATTCTTTGATACAATTTAATTCTAGCTGAGGTCTAAGGTGGAATATTTGTCTGCTGATTACAGGTCTGCACTGTTGGCGGTGTGTCCAGGAGGCACTGTGGTCTATTCAACCTGCACTCTGTCCAGCTTTGAGAACTTTTCTGTGGTTGAGACGGTGCTGAAGGACTTTCCTGAGGCTGAAGCTGAAGACCTGTGGGAGGAGATTGCCATTCCTTTATCTAAATACTTTACGTTCAGCTCTAACCCCGGACATGGACAGACAACTCAGGAGGCAACCCCGAAGACACAAGACGCTTCTGTGTCCTTTTATCGCCACAGACTTGGCATTCTTGTGGTCCCTCAGCTTGGCAAGTCATGGGGACCCATGTTTTTAGCTCGGATTAGAACACGGAAATAAAATCTTACCATGCACGGGGACAAAAAGTGAAATGGCATAACTAAACTTGCACAATAACTTTGTGCAAAACACCAAAATTAAAATTTAGATTAAAAACACTGCAAATACGCACAGTGCCTACCTGTGCCAATTATGCAAGAGGAAATAAGCAGCAGCAGTAGTTTAGACACGCAGATATAAAGACATCGGTGTCAAAACAAACGTGGTTAAGAAAGTCATAAATGCTCCTGTTTTAACAGTGCAACACCAACCATCTGCTAAACTATAAGTGCTGCAGCTACAGTTTTTTGTTGTTTGTAGCTGCTGGCTTCTCTGTGTGTGTGTGGGTGTGTTGCAGGAGATTTAAGCAAATAAAAATAGAACGCTGCTCACATCAGTTAAACTCACCTCGAGCTATCCGCATCAAAGACAGAACTTAGACAATATTCCAGTACTTAACACATGTGAGCAGTATTTTATGGCAGTTTGTGTGAAATAAAGAGAAAATGGCGTGAAAGCAGCCACCTGATCACTCACGAGTTTCTTTTTCCACAGGTCCGCTGCCCCCCTAGGCTTAGGAAGGCTTTATTTTTCATTTCAGCCAGTTGTTTACTTGTCCACCCTGTATCTGTATCATTTTGGTTCAGTTTCACTGTTTTCACACCATCAGCTCTTTGTCAGTAAAATTATCTAATTGAAGCATTTAGCAGCCTCAGAGGGCGACGGTTAACTTGGAAGTGACTCAATGCACATTGAAACAAGAGTGAATACAGGACTTATTATATTTAGTCAGCAGCAATATTGCTGCAGAAACTATATGTAAATTAGCAGCAGTCAAAAAATTCACCGTATAAGCTAAAAAGCTAATAAGTTAGTGCCTCCCAGTGACCGCTGCAACAATAAAAACAAACTGAGTTTTTCTATATTAAACATTAATGTATTGTTTACCTCTGAATCCACCTTCTTTCCATTCTGCGGTTAACAAGGACGACCACCTTGGTTCAGAGGACATGCGCACACATCAGAAAGCTTGTAAATCTGTAACGCCGCCGTGTTTAGAAAATATTCTCCACTCAGCTGCTGGCTAAAATGAAAATACAAACCCAAACAGCACTCACACACTCAGACAGATATTAAAAAATGAAGCAACAACACACATTTCCTGCAGGAGGAACAAAGCTGTCAGAATTGCAGAAACTGTTGGCAGGTCTGTGTCTGAGTCTGAACTGCTGCTGTTATTTTCTTGGAAGTGCAGGCGTGTGTCGCAAAGCGGGCTGCATGGCCATGACAACAAGGGAGGCACGCACACATAAATACCAATTAAGAAAATGTTTATTTAGGAATTACGAAATCATGATAGCTTAAACAATGGTGAGTGTAGTAAGCGAGTGAATTTGTAAAGAGATGGCAGATGCAGTTTTGTGCTGCTCAAGCGGAGAACCACATAGTAACTGAGTGGCTAAGGCTTTCATAGGCCAGGTGGTCCTAGCCTCTCTGATTGTGGACAAACCCTATTAGTACGGGCAGAAAAGAAGCTGCCACCCAGTCAAGCTGAAGGAAACCAAGATGGAGAGAGCTGATGATGTAAGAGTTGTGATAAAAAACACCTGCACAGTTTAGTCTGTTTGAAGCGACTTTTTAAATTCCCTTATAATGGTAGAGAATGGGAGTTGACATAAGAAGACAAGCACCACCGTCTCCAAGCCTTATTTGCTTTTGACACAAGTCCTCAAAGAATTTTTCAAGTTTCTGTCTAAACACCCATACTCAATGTGAATGTTGGATGTTGTCAAAGTAATGCAAAAACAAGTCCAAATGTTTGCCGACTCGACCAGAAACTAAAGTTTTTCTGTCTGAGAGATTTGTTTAATAGCCAGGAAGAGCAGTAATGATCAAATTAACACAGTTTCTCTGTTTATTTCTGCTATTGCTCTACGGCACTGTCCAGAAATAATCTCATATGTGCTGTCATACACCCCTTTAGTGTTACTGTTGCATTTTGCAGTGATGTATTACCTGGGAGGACTTTTCTTGTGTGAAAAGTAGATATTTCATGAAAGATTTGTAGCTTCTCATCACCCTGTGATTGCTCAGATCAGAAGAAAAAGGTGTATTGGCAGTAAACACAGACAATAATATACAAAAAGTCATATATTCCAACCTTTCTGCACATAACGGAGTGACAAAATAAGCTCTTGCAAAGGCAGTTATGTGTGGAAGCATCAAATATATAAGGCCGGTGCTTCCGAGCAACCCTCCGAGACACCGTCAAAGACATGATTGCTGAAATAGCGTTGCACCGGTTTCATCCGACTACTCCGTGTGGCCATAGACACAAGCATTATTTGAGTGCATTTATATGGCTATTTATACTGGCCGCCCTACTTCTGCTCCACTTTTGAGTGTCTTCGAAAAATAGCTCCAGTCTTTGATATGAGCGAATCATTACGCTACCATAACATCAGCACAACTTAAAAGTGGTGAGATGTGGAGATGAAGTGGGGCTTCATTAGGGTTAACCATATTGCTGACCTTTGTGTGAACCCTGGTTTGTTGACGCTCCCCATATTGCAGTGTTTCCTCAAGGGGAGAATCTCTAAGCAGCTTTTCCTCCACTTCAAAGGGAGAGAATGTAGGCCTGCTTTGCATAATCAGGTGGGGAACAGCTTTTTGCCAGAGAGGCAGGAATTAATTTGTGACACCGCCAGATATAATCATTAAAACCCTAGTCATTGACAATAAGGAGAGAGGAGGAGGGAAAATTAGAGGAGGAACTGTAGAACAGTAGATAGAATGAAGGAGAGAGAGATGTGGAGCATAGGATAGTCCCGAATGCCAGAGGACACTATAGCGAAGCAGACTAATCTGGTCTGAGCTCTGTAAAGCTAGAAAGCCATTTTTTTTAGTCTAGCTACACTCAGCTCTGTCACTCTGTGTTTGGACATGGTGGCATGAAGTTAATCCTTACTTCCGTTACCCCTTTATTTATTTATTTATTTTTTACAATTTTTATGTATATCATCATTTTAAAGTGATGGAAACATGATGAAAAATGGATTTGAAATTCCAGCTATAGCATGCAAATCAAACTGAAAGCTCTTCAGCAGCACGCTGTATGTGTAAGCTATAAAGCTACAACCACAATCTATAAATTTATCTTATGTTTCAGTCTCATTGCTGCCATTAACCCAGTTTCTTGGTGCAGCAAGCAGTTTTCAGCAAACAACCTCTGAAACCCACTCAATCAAGCAAAGGAAGTCAGCAACTAATTTATTTTTTTGCTAAGAACATTATAATATGATATTCTTTATATTACAGCACCGACTTGAACAGGCCAATTCATTATTTCTGTAGCTAAAATCCAATTAGGTTGTGACCAGAAGAAACACCCTGTAAAACAAATAAATGTCTAACTTAAGGATTTGACGATGAACGTGTCGGACAGCTAACAACTGGGTCTATAGATTCAGTGCCGTTTGGGGTATCCATCATTCATTTCAAACATCATCATCTGCCGATACTCCATCAGTGGAAGGGAGAGCAGGATTGCTGCTTTTGATTGATTGTTTCGCGACTAATCTCTGAGGAGCGATGTCTGAACAGAATGAAAAATTGAGGTCAGCCAATGATTGGATTTTGTTAATCTGCATTAAAAACACATGTTTTCTTAATCAGGCTCTATTACAGAACACAAAAAAACATGCACACATACTCCTGCCAGGAAATGAGCAAACTGGCACCCCCCTAAAAAGACAAACACTGGCAGACCTGAGCCTACAAAGTAGTACACACACACACACACACACACACACACACACACACACACACACACACACACACACACACACACACAC